TCTAAGATCCTGACATCGACCTTGGATAGTGTTTGCTAAGTAGATAACCTCTTGTGAATATAGCCCCTTCATGGGTAGTAAATAGGTGAGCTTGAACTCAAAGTGTTAGGGCACTTTTTCCAACAACATATTTGGAAGACACTATGCACTCAAGCTTCAAGCTCTTGTGAGTGCCTCCTCTTCATCTATAAATTTCCTCACTGAAGTATATTTGTTATGAGATCTAACTCTCACTAAAATAATGTTTAAGACAAATTTGTAAGCACTACACACCTTGTGGAAAACATATATTGCGAAGTTACTTGGTTGACTTTCGATATCACATATCATCATGCATTTTTCTAGGTATAGTTAACTATGAGTAAATATTGGACAAGTAAAAAAGATTTCAACTTTTATTTTATTTCCTGTTATCCTTTACTCTTATTAATGTCCATTGCACAACCACCCCTCAATAGCCAATGCTCTTATTAATCTCAACTTTGTACATTATTATTGGTATGATCACACTATATTGCACTCTACAACATTTTTTTAATGGGGTCCATTATATTTTGATTTCTATATGTTTCGACGTATAAATCTATATACCCTGGTATGCAATCAAAGAGAAGATTGATGCATGTACAAGTATGGATTGAACTCTCCACTCCGGGGATTCGAAAACCTCTTATTAGCAAGGAAAGTTCCCTGTGAGCCGAATATGGTCAAGTGTACTCTTCAAGCCGTACTTGAGCACAGCCTTGTTGCCTTCTCGGAACCCATCCCCATAGGATTCAGAAGTATCAGATTCTATCTGGTGCTTGAAAAACTCTCCCAGTTTCTTCTCGAACAGCGAACGGTTTCCCTTTTTTGAAGAGGTGGATGATGATGATGATGAAGAGCTTGTCGAAGATGATGAAGACGAAGTAGATGCAGTGTTAATACCAGAACCAGCTATGATTTCAGAATCCAACCACATGTGTGCTAAGACTTGGCAGATGCCTTCTTCCACTTCTGGGCTTAGATTGGGATAACCTGAATATATATGCTAATGATAACATTAGTGCAGCACATTGCATTTCTAAGCACATTTTTGAGTTTTGAGTTTTGGGTGAATGAGAAAATCACCTTTAAGGCGCAGATACGCATGCATCATCTCATGAGCCAAGATGGAACCTGTCAGCAACCTGAACAGGCAAAAGTAAAGCTTCACTGTTTTAAGATTAAGGATACTTGTCATTTTTCCCCCAAATACTTGCATTTTATACTTGCTAGCATTTTAACCCGCGTTTTGCAAAGTTTTTTTTGCAATTTTTCTAAGCATCTTTTCTTTTAGATTCTAACTCTTAAGGGCCCTCTGAATGGGAGGGAAAAAAATCCGTGAAATTTCAATTCTAATTTCATGTTTGTTTACATAAGTTGTACGGAATCATTTTTTAAGGAACAATATTTTTTTTTACAGAAAGGGGAAAACGACTTTCGTTTGTTTTGGATGGAAGTTCAACTTCCCACTCACTCCTTGAGTCCTTGGATTGCAGGATCATTTGAGAGATGAAGGAAGCAGAGGAGTTTTTACCTTGGAAGACCATATAAGAGGAGGATAGCAGTCACTTCACATCTCCTAATCAGCCTGCAGGGTTCTGTGAACATGTCTGTGATCCTATAACCCCCGATTCTCGGCCTCCTTAAAATCTGAAATTTGTTTCTAGTAAATGACACAAGTCAAATAAGAGTTTAGCTTAAGCGGTCGCGGAGAGAGAAGAACCATACACTGCTGACTGTCTGTTCTTCTGACAAGCAAAGTCCCCTTGTTTCAGGCATGTGATGATGGCCCTGGTCAAAGGGGGAAATGAAATGTTTCAAGAACCTGATGTCAGCTGTTAAACAGCCAATGAAACAAGATTTTAAAAAAAAACTTTATTAGCCTCACATTCTTTTCTCCTTCCATGGCTTCATTCAGCGCTTGCCTCTCAACTAAGAGTAATGGAATCTGCTGCTCTACTTTCATATGCAGACCTTCATAGAAGTCTTGAATTTCAAGATACAATGGCTGGCATTCATGAGTGTCCATTATTGCTGAATCCAGACACTCTAGGCACAGCCTCCTCCCATCATCGAGTATCAAGTATCTCGTGTCTACTTGCTGCATAAACAATAAAATGATGGGATTTCTCAAGCATCACATTCGGTTTTTCGTTAGTGTTATAACACTATTTGCAAATGTCAGTTTGAACTGATAAATTTTGAATTTTTTTTCTTTCCCGTAGGATTAATGGTTTGGTTTTTTTTCACACAGACCTCCATTCTCTCACAACTGCAGCAGCGATGGGTCCCATCATGCCCATGGGAGGGACAGTATTTTTGATGCCAAAAAGGATGTGCTCTATATTCTATAAGACCGGCTGCATTTGAAGGGATCTGGAAACATGTTTGGATTAGAGCATCTAAGTAACATACAAAATGTCATAATTCAGATTTAGGGATACATCTCAAACCGAAGGAAATATAAAACAAACATATATATACATTTGAACCACTCTTCTTAATAAATAAACTTTAAATATAATAGAAGCTCGGGTAAATAGAAGCTTACAAAGTTCTTGCAAATGTCACATTTTGGGTGATGCTGTTCCTTGTAGCAGGATTTATGGTATGGACGATTCTCAGAAACTGAAAACTACATGCAATGATAAAAGAGAAGGAATCATTAAATCACCAAGACATTCAGAGAATCAAAATAAATGTATTCAAGAACGAAAGAACGATGTTTATGAATCAAGGGAAGTGTTCAAGAAACATATTCAAGAACGATGTGAAATTATTGGCACCAAACCTCATAGTCAGAAATTGGAAGTTCGCAAGCACTGCATTTGAAACATTCAGGATGCCACACAGTGCCCATGCAACTTAAAAATTTTCCATGACCAATTTCTGCTTTGCAACCAGCACAAATCCTATACACAGGTGGATACAAGAATGGAAATGGAGAAAAGAAACTTTGATGACCATTATGCCTTGCTGGTTGAGACTCCATATTTATACTCTCCTGAAGAGCCCTGGCCAACTGTTCGTCTTCCTCAATACTAGCTTCGTCTTCTAATCCATCAATATATAACAAGAACAAATTTAGGCACGAGCATTTTTGTTTAAGAGCATCAACAATCAGTAATGAGATATTTGGCAGATTTCTGTGTAAATAAAAAAATCCATCCCCACTTGAAACATACGGAGTAAAAGGGTAAAATATTAAAGTCAAAAACAGTACACTATCCATCTTGCTTATACACAGAACATGATCCTGTTTTACAATCTTCTATACTTTTGGCACATTTGTTTTGCAGGTACCTGTGCACTTAACTACAATATTTGGAATTTGTTTTTCTGAATTTCATACCTTGAGGGAGCATATTAGCTTTATGAATATTAAATAATTTTAGGATGGTAAATCACTCAGATCTCAAATGGAGATGAGAGATTTCTCCTCCAACTTACCAATTACTCTTTTTCCCTTATCATCTTCCCTCTGCTCTTGCTCTAGATCATCCTTTTGGTATTCTCTCTGCTCTTCATTTTGGTCTTCCTTGCGATCTTCCTTTTGGGCTTCTTCCTTTTTCTCTTCTTCGACAATCGAGAGTGCAATTGCAAGAGCAACTTCTTCATCATCAAAGTCTGACCTTGCATCCTATGTAAAAGCCCCACAAGTCTAGAATCAATATACAATGACATAATACATAGAAGGAAAAAAAGGCTGCCAAGGAATTTTTTTACAAAAATGTTGTCATTACAGCAGAGGATGATCTGGGCCTTTCCCAAACAGTGCCATCTTCCAATCTCCCAAGATGTTGGCCTTGTGAAATCTTCTGCTTATTGCCATGGCTGAAACCTTTGAAAATCTTGGACAGCCAACCCATAAGTGAGCTACAATCCACCCTGCTTTCGGGCGAATATCGGCCCAAATTTGCAAAAGAATATTTGCCAATTGTACCTGCAAGTGATGATATCCTATGGTCAAGAATCAGAAGAAGACACAACAGAAAAGCTAATGAATTCTCAGTCAATCATTCAAAATTTTAAAAATAATAATAATTGTTAATATTATAATAATCTGGTGGGCAGTAACAATCACTGACAACACACTAGGACAAACTAATGCAATGATTCTTCTTCAAGATTGGTCATTTGTCTAACTTGGGGATTACAGACAAAGAGAACGTTTCAGTACTTACAATAAGAGAATCAGCAGAATTCCAAGGAATCTGATAGAAACCAGATCAGACAAAATCACCAAATTAAGCTTGGAACCATATTCATGGCCGGGATAAAAGAGATGGAAAGAAAGATTTCGCACCCTCCCCTACATCCACAAACCCATACTCGCAATAATTCCCATGAAGAACAGTAGGATGAACATGCCCCACCAATTTATTTAAGGAGTATTATTTCAACACTAAAGATTAAAGAAAAATAACTTTAGTAACAATGGGTTTGACAGAGGCAGAAAGTGAAAGAAACAGAAACCTACACGAATACAGGTAGAAAAGGTGGAATCGCTTTAAAAAACAATAGATAGAAAAAAGGTTGAATCTTTTTAATTACGGAGTTTAATACATTAATACAGAAGATTAGAAAGGAAAAGGGATCATGAAGAAGGTGGGTTCAACTTTCAACATTCAAAATTCAAAATTTGAGCTTGCGTGAAAGGGGCCCTTCGACCCTATTATTTACGACCATCATTGCACTACAAGTCAAAATCTCATTAACTTTTCAACAGCTAACCTTTGGGTTAGAGCACTCGTAATACCCCTCACGCCCACCGGCGTTACGGGGCGTTTAACGCCCCGGGGGCGTGAAACACCGCCCCCCGCCGGCGTACACGGGCGTGAGGGCGGCTGCGTCATTCCTTTGACGCGGCGTGAATCGGCGCTGCTCCCTCCTAACGGCTAAAAAAGTCGTTGCACCCCAATTTAAAAAAAAAAATTCCTATAAATTCAACCCTCCCCAACCAATCTCTCACACCTTCTCTCCAATCTCTTCTTCTTTCTTATTTTTAAATTTCAAAATTCAAATTCCTCCTCCTAATTTTCAACATGAATCCTTCCGGCTCCGGCTTCGTTCCCGACAATCTCCCCCCGAGTGACGCCGCGATGTGGTTCTACCAAGAGTGGGGCGATCGACCGCCGATATACGAGACGCAACAATCGGGGTACGTCGACCGAGATTCGGTTCCGGAGACTCAACCGGAACTGTCCGGATCGAAAAAAAGTACACGCCGGAGGAGCTACAAAGCCAAAGGCACGTTGACCGATGCGGCACGGTCAATCCAAAAGTGGACGCCGGAGGAGGAGTGCATATTGGCGTCGGCTTGGGTTGACGTCTCCGAGCATCCTATCATTGGTAAAAAATTTGTTTTTTCTAATGTATTTATATTTTTATTTATATATATTATATTTAATGGTGTCAAAAAAAATTGTGTAATACTTTTTTAAAGGTACGGAGCAAACGAAGGATGCGATGTGGGATCGTATCGAGGAGAAGTTCTTCACGGCGATGAAGAAGGACGGCTCCTACCGAACCCGTGACCAACTCACTTCCAAATGGAGCCACATCAACAAAAAAGTACGAAAGTTTATGGGAGTATACGAGGAATGCTCCCGGTCCCGGAGGAGCGGCATGAACGACGCCGATGTTCTCCGGCTTGCCACGACCCGGTATCAAGACGACGGGAACCAAGGCAAGGTGCCCATCGATCTTTGGGGGATTTTGAGTCGTTCCCCGNGGCAACAACTCAACAATCCCGACGGCGTATCATTCCGGAAAAGATCCACCGTCGACGCCGAGGTTGAGGTCGACGAGACCATCGGTTCTACCGATCAAATCCCTTCCTTCAACGTTGCGGCTTCCGATGACGAGGACCCCATTCCACGGCCGATCGGAAGAAAGAAGGCAAAATCCATTGCCTCTGGTTCGGGAGGGTCCGCCTCTATTTCCGCTTCTCCCCGCGACGAAATCGGCCGGGCAATGGTTGAACAACTTCGGGCGTTCAATCTCCAAGAACAAGAGAGGTTGAAGCTTAAAGAGAAGGAGTTGAAGCTAAAGGAGCAGGAGGCCGAGATGAAAGTCATGCAAACCGACCCCGGGACGTTGTCGGAGTTTGGACGAATTATGTACGAGCAAAGAATGAGAGAGATCAAGGAGAAATATAATTTTTCTTAGTTTTTTTATTAATGTATCTTTTTTTTAAAATTATTGTCGCTTTTTTTTTATTTAATTAATGTGTTTTTTATTATTCGTGTTTCAATTTAATTAAATAAAAAATTAAGTACATTTTATTAATTTAATTTTAGAAGATGTATATTTAAAAATGTAAAAAATGAAGGTTTGAAGCCCAGTTTTGAAGCCCCGGGGCTTCAAACCCATTTCCAGTGAATTTTGGGTGTAAGTTAAAGCTGACGTGGCAGAGAGAGAAAGTTTGAAGCCCCGGGGCTTCAAACGTATTACCAGTGCTCTTATGACAAGGCGGCGTTAGAGGGTGCCTCCATGCTGTCACGCCCATTTGCTCTTGTTTAATTAAGAACAGTGATAATACCCCTGTAGTTTCGGGCTTCAAAACTTTTTTCTGTCACGTCAGTTTTAACTTATTTTTGTTATTCATTTGATAAAATAATATTATAATATCATCTTTTTATGGGATGCTTTTTATTATACCAATTTTTCCAATGCAATGTGATGGTTGATATATGCGTTGTGATTTGTCGTTTAGATTTTATTCAAATTTTAATTCTTAATTTTTTGATTAGTGAATAATGACTACTAATTGAGTTTGTATGTGATGAGAAAACATGAGAATGCATTGCAATTCAACCAACTGTAATACAAATTTGAAAAATAGTTTACCTATGCAGGATTCAAACCCACACCCGTAATGCATACTGCTCTACCATTTGAGTTAATAGGCAACAATTTGGTTTTTCATAGAGATTCTCATCTTATGCTTAAAAATATTAAATATGAATTTTAATTATTTAAATCTGTATCATTGAACGTGTTTCTTAGCCATATTCAAATCTATCACATTACATTTTGGTGCATCATGGTTTGCAAAATTTTCATTATCTAGAATACATCAAAGCATCATAATTGTGTAATGAGAGTCCATTAATGTATTACCTCGACTTTAAGAATGCAATTCTTTAAATTATCATGGAAATGCATTACCTTTATTCATAGAATGCACAATAATTAAAATCCACGAAGAGTTTGTTCGTTAATGATTTAACATTAGTAGTGATAAAAAACATGTTAAACTACAATGCACCTTGAATTCTCTATGATGCATAGCTATGGTGTATAATATGCATTTATAAACATCTTGCTCTATGGTTACACATCGACATCTTCATCTTGGTCACGTGAAGTGCCATATCCATGGTAATTGACCTTCTGCAGATTGTTTTAATGTAAAAGAGAAAAATTAAATGTGGAGTACTTAAAAAAACCTGAATGGGGGTTTGCAAAATATATGGAAATATGCGTGCTAAAATCATGGGCACGGTTTAATTAGCATTGATTAGATTTGGTTGACCATAAAAATGTTTGTTTTACCCTTGTTAATTTTTATGAACAACAAGAACCATAGATTACCCCCACTTACTATTTCACCTTTTCTCATTTAATATACTCCACTCATTTTCATTAAGGGCATTATGGTAAACTTTTATCTTTTTTTCAACTCTCTATGAAAACCACAAAAAGTTAAAACGATAAGATCTTAGAGGACGGAGGAGTATATATTAATGGAAGTACCATTTTACATCTAGAGGCATGTGTGGATCTACAAATCATTGAGCAATGCATACTCCTCATTACTCAAACTAACTGCAATACACAATGCATACTTGCATAGGTAAATCATCAAGTAGTTGAGGACGACAATGCCCAAACCATTGTGGCAGTCATTGCTTTTGAAAAATGCTGGACAATCTCATCCATATCAGGGCGACTCGAAGCATCTTTTCGTACGCAACCATCAACTAATCCCATCAAACTTGCAGCAATATCTGCAGGGTACCTCTGTCCCAGACTTGGATCCATCAAACCTGCCAAACACTCCTTCCCATTTTCCTCTTGAAGTGTGGCAATGTCCTTCCCGGTAAGTATTTCCAATATAAGAACACCAAAAGCGTACACGTCTAGCTTCGGGGAAACCAAACCGTGCTCTAAATACTCTGGTGCCATGTACCCTTTCGTCCCGACTATGTGCCTCGTCAAGGCAAACTCCCCTTCTTGCCCCTCTGCTGACCTCGATAGCCCAAAGTTTGTGATTTTGGCTCTCATGTCGCGGTCCAGAAGAATATTACTGCTGTTCACGTTCTTGTGTACATGGGGAGGGGTTGCGTAGCTGTGAAGGTAGTTCAGCCCTGTGGCTACATCCAGCCCGATTTGTATCCTCTGTGTCCATGTCAAAGAGTGTACATTTCCTGGGGACTTTGTGTGTATCCTATCACTCAATGGCCCGTTTTCGGCATACTCAAAGACTAGGTACCATTCTCCGTTGTGGAAACATACGCCTGAGAGACCGATGAGATTGAAATGGTTGAGTTTACTCAACAGATTGATTTCCTTGGGCACATCTCCGCTCATCATCTTGATTGCCGCAAAGTCTCCATTGATTTTGCCGCGATAAACGGATCCTTGAATCCAAGAATTATGACTGAAATTTTGAGTCGCGGATTTGAGCTCGTCAAAGGTGTACATCTTGACAGATTTTACCAATTCAGACACACTTGCGTAGCTCAACTCCCCTTGCTCTTCCAGTTTCTTCTCCTCTGCTCCAAAACCCCTTGAGACCAACTCCGGGTCGGTTTTCTCTCGCTGTTTCCGGAGACAAAACACGAAAACAAGCGCGCCTACAACAGACAAACAAGAAATTCCTCCAAGAACACCGGCCACAGCATATATCCAGGTCTTGCTTGAGCTTTTACTAGGTGAAGGGACAAGGGGCGGCGGGGGCTGCGGTGGAGGCTGCGCCGCCACCTGTTTGCTGGATGGTTGGTCATGAAGTGGGACCAGCAGAGTGGTGTTGGGGTATATGGTAGAATCCTGAAAAGACAGCCCATTTGCCGCTAGGGTTTCCCCTGTATCCACCCCAAACTTGTTGCTGATCAAGGAAACGTACTGTCCCGATTGGATCACGTAGCTCAACAAGTACTTCACGCCATGGTCGCTCTGGTTCTTCGTGGGACAAGCACACCTCAAAGGAACAAAAACTCTCTCCCCAGCGTACAACATTGTGTGAGCGATTCGACTGTTCTGAGACAGGAGAGCCGTACAGGTGGACAGCCCTTGCAAAACGGTATTGGCAATGCCTATAAACGTATCCCCAAACCTAATCGCGTACGATCCACTGGCCTGGTAATTCCGACCAGAACAGGAACATGTGACGGGGACAAGAACCACCTCGTCACTCCCGAAGGTTGCATTTGGAGGGACGGAATTGATTCGGGAGAGAATTTCTGGGTCGGCCCCGAGAAGGGAGGAGATGGAGGGAACGGAGTCGTATGGCGGCTGAGATGTGAACGTCAGGTAGGCCGGGCAGCGCCGGGCAGCGCCGTTGCAGAGGTAGCCGAAGGCGGAAGTGGAATTGCCGGTGGCGTTGCTAGCTCGCCGCAGCCGGTGGCCTTGCGGATGTAGGGCTGCTGGGATCGGCAGAACAAGGAAGGTGAAATGAGGACGGTGAGGAGAGAGATCCAGTGTGAGATATTCATTTTTGGGAGATGGAGAGATGAAGATTGAATTGAAGAGTGGATCTGGCAATTCACCTCGACCGGGTAGAGAAGACGATAATGAATGATGAGAGGGAGGATAGTGTACAATTTGGTTACGAAATCCGTACAGTTGACTATAACTGAACAGCGCGTCTACTTGACCTGTCATTATCGGTGACCAGTTAAAGAATTTCCACTCTCCTTCACCGTCGCATGGAGGGCTGGTCGTAGACCAGGCAATCGGGTCAATCGATTCTGTTTCGGTTCGGATCTTTTTGGTTCGAATCTTATTTGGATATACTCGTATGTTATAATTGGTCCGGGTTTATTTTTGTTTGACTGGTTTTCGGTTTCGGATCGGTTTCGATTCGAATTTGTATCGTATCGGGTTTATATTGGTTCGGGTTTGTATAGTATCGGTTCGGATTAGTATTGAATCGGGTTTATATCGGTTCGGGTTTGTATCGATTTGGGTTTGTATAGGTTTGAGTTTATATCGATTTGGGTTTGTATCGCTTTAGGTTTATATTAGTTCAGATATATTTTAAATAATTACTAATAAATCAATAATATCACATCATAAATTTAATCAATTTATGATATACTCCGTAGTTATTTTATTGTTTAACATGGACGTACATAAAATTTAATCAGTTTGGGGTCTAATCAGTTCCGGGTTTAATCGAGTTTGGATTTTATCGGTTCGGGTTCGGTTCGGTTCGGATCATTTCGGGTGTTCGGTTCTATTTCGATTCTTCGGTTTTCGGGTCAAATCGGGTTCAGTTTCGGGTTATTCGGTTCGGGTTATCGGGTTCGGGTCATTTTTGCCAGGTCTAGCTGGTCGGGTGGTTTCCCTGAGCGGGAATAAACGAGAGACCCATTTTTAAGAGAAAAGGATAATTCTCAGATTAAAACATTCAAAACATAATAAAAATAGAAATTCTATGTTATTATTTTTTACGTAAAACTTGATTGATTATTCATTAAGCAATAAAGGGTTAATATACATGTACAATTGGGCCTAACATATATGGGTCAAGTCCATGATACAAACATGAAATAATAATACACGGGCTAACATTCCCCTCAAGTTGTAACATTAATATCAAAAATGCTCAACGGACAACTCGCCCGATTAGATTCTGAAAAAGCAGCAAGAGTAAGATCACCATCACAACGTAGCAGGATTCCTTGATCGCGGTGACACTTGAGATACCAAAGAACACGTAGGGAAGCATTTCAGTGATCGGGGTGCCTGCATAAATTGTGTCAAAACATATACTGCATAACATATGTCAGGACGAGTGATAGTCACATACAAGAATCGTGCCACAAGACGTCGATATTTGATAGGTTCACGTAGCTCGACACTAGTGGAACGAGACAAGTTGTGGTTGCTAGGCAGAGGAGTATCAAAATTCTTACAACCAGATAAATTAGCCTATTGAAAAATATCAAGGACATATTTCCGCTGAATTAACACCATCCTTGTCTGGAAACGAGCACACTCAGTACCAAGTAAGTAAGAGACAAGAAGACTTGAACTACTTGCAATTATTCAAGTCACCTACCCTGATTTCGATAATATTGCAAAAGGCTTGAACTACTTGCAAGAACGAACAATTCTTGCCCCAACATTTGATGGTGTAAATTACCTAACCGGGTAAACAGTACCAGACCAGGTTTAGAATTGTTTACTAGATTCGGAAAAGTAAAGGTAAAAGCACTCAAAGTAACCGGGAGGACTGTAGGTGGAAACACCTATAGCCAAATTAATATTACGAATATAGTAGAATGCACGGGAGCTTTTACACAAGAGTTTAGTGAGAAGAAATCGGGTCCCTTCCTTTGAGGGTTACACAGGTATTTATAGTGATCTAGAGGAGACAAGGTGCCGCGCATCCACGTTAGGGCACGTTCTTGGATGGTGCGAGGTGATTGCCTATGTCCTCTAGCGGTCTTGTCTCCTAATGAGGGGAAGGTGGCTTCCTTGTCACGTAGTGCTTTGGACGAATTGTCCAAGTATCATTCAACGATTCTCCGTTGAATTTGATCGATACAGTCCAATTCCCATTGGATTCTTCCTTGCCGACACTCTCCAACCCTAGAAATCATACCGGGTGATTCTTGAGAGATGGGCTTACTGAAATTGGAGACGAATGAGGGAGTAAAGAAGTTTGACCGGTAGACTTTCCGAAGTGCACTGGTGAAACTTTTGGTCAACCAATCACCTTTTTACTGTTGTTTAATTTTAGGAATCCCATTCTGAAAAATCAACCTTGACCGGTTGGATATTTGAGCGCAATCTTTGACCGGTTCTGGGTGAAATACACCCATCAACATTAGATGTGGTGGATGTCATAAATGATTACATGACATCCATAAATGATGTTGGAGAAGCAAATACATATCTAAGATCAGATTTTGTTTGCAAGTTAGATTCGAATGTTCATGTTATATCTGGCTTGCATTCTCAAAAATTTTTAAACAACAAAAGGGCATCTAGTGTGCCCAACCATGAATTAAAATTAAAGGATGAGACACCGATTATGTTGTTGAAGTATATTTACCAATCTATGAGACTTTGCAACAGAACTAGACTCATTGTCACAAGATTGGGTACCCATTTAATTCAGGGAAAAGTGATGGGTGGTAAGAATGTCGGGCACAAGGTAGTGATTCCGCCAATTTTGCTCACGCCTTCGGATACACGCATTCCATTTAAATTTCAGACGAAACAGTTCCTGATTACGACATCCTACGCTATGACGATTAACAAAAGCCATGACCAATCATTGAAACATGTGTGATCACTACTCAAGAAGTCAGTTTTAGTCATGACCAACTATATGTTGCTGTCTCTCGAGTAAGCAATCGTTGTGTGTTGAAGGTCTTAAGTTGCAAGAATGATGAAGCAATTTCGAATGCCATAACAAATGTCATTTACAAAGAAATTGTTCAAAACCTTCAATGTCTTGAGTAGTGTGAAGCTCTTTCATTCTTTTTTTCATGATTTGCATGTAATGATTTCAGTGTTTACCTACGAATCAAGTACGTTCTTTGATATGCGCCATTTCAAAATTCTACACAAAATACCATAAACAAATAAACTTTTCAAAACTACAATCCGTGCAATGCACAGCTAAGAAATCTAGTATAGCTATAATAGTAGCTTCAAGTTAATGACACATTACATGCCCAATTGAGAGTACATTACAAAAACTAATAATCTATCCATATGTGTAATTATTGTGGTTCGTATCCACTCTATTTTGAGAACGGAGTGGACGGGACTGGCCGGCCTGGCCGACCTTCTCTGCAGTTTGCACAAGTCTAGTTCTACACTCTATTAATTTTTTTTTTTGAGAACTACGGAGTATTAATTAAAACCACATAGTTTCAAATTATTGACCTTAGCTCTAAATGCACCAAGTCAATGCACCAAGTCAACTTGAAAGTTAATTTTAAGATTGAAGAAAATACACAAATGACAAATCCCATCTCAAGGCCAAATTTACAGTGTAAAATGGAGTATGTAACAGTAGCCAGGAAAAGACGGTCAAGTACCCTTGTTGTCTTTGACAGCCACGCAGCCATTGTTTCTTCTGATCTCGGGAAGATGCATCTTGAGATAGAAATTGAGGAAGAGCAAGAGAATGGCGGCGTTGAGGACGGAATTGAAGACCCAAGCTCCGATTCCGTTGCAGCCGCCTTTGATGAAATGGAGCAACAGGACTCCGATGTGGCAGAGGATGTTGCACCCCAGGAGCACCATCTGGCAGTTCACCACGAACGGGAAGCACGCGCTCCGGAGGCCGATCGCCGTCCAGAATCTGTAGGCGTAGACGACGGAGTAGATGGACGTGGTGAGGAGGATGGCGAGGACTTGGAAGGACTGGGAGAACTCCAGCCAGAGGAACGACATGAAAATGGGGATCGAGTGGTTGAGGAGCTGGAACGGGGAGAGCCTCCGGCGCCGGAGGATGGCGAAGAATGTCCCCAGGGTGTGGAGGAATCGGGAGAGGTAGAAGGCGTAGGACCAGAAGAAGACCCGGCCCGATGGCCGGGTCCCGATCGGGAAACAGAGGAGCCACTGGAACGGGGTGGTCCGGGAGCGGCGCCAGAACCACCGGGTGTCGCGGATCTCGGCGGCGGCGGAGAGGAGGATGCCGGCGAAGATGGTGAGGGAGATGAGGGTCATGGAGAGGGAGTGGAGGGCGGGGATGGGGCCGAGGGGGAGGGGGCGGCGGCTGCGGAAGAGGAGGAGGAGGAGGCGGTGGAGGAGGAGGGAGGAAGCGACGTACGCGGCGATCGCGGCGAAGACGAAGGACCACGTGCTGCCCCACAATCGGCTGTGGCTCCAGCGGAAGGTGATGATCGAAGGGTGCTCCGATAGGAAATAGACTAGGCTCTGAATCATCGCCGGAGCGGTCATCGTCGGCGTCGGCAATGCTCTCGTCGTTCACCGGACGGGAACACCGCCAACACGGGGTGGAGAATCAATCGCGGTCGCCGCCAAGCGGGGAGGGGAGACGGGGGGCTGCCTTAATCGCGAAGCTTCGGAGGATACGAGGAAATGAATCAGTTCTATATTCCTTAGATATTTGTAGATTGTTGAAACGGGGGGGTTAGGTAAGGGATAGATGGGGCTTTAAAAAGGACACATAATCCTTCTGAAGGGCGGGGTGATGGTGTGTTCGTCAGGGGACAACGAGAATCACGAAGATGGTAGCGTGCGTATTTAGTGAAATAATTCCAATATTGGGAAGAAATTTATGATGTGTTTCATCAAAATGTAGCTAGGCGCACAATCCAGTTAGGGTGGATCGAAATGGATCATATCCAAAAAAAAACAAAATAAAGTAAAGGGATAAAATATGTTTTAAGTGCTTGTAAAATACGGAGTAAGTGATTTTTATTTAAGAAATCAATTAATTAAACAGGACTAAAATATAGAGAAATTATCAAAATAGAAATTTCATATTTTTATTCTCTAAATAAGAGTTTGCACTATGGTAATGTGATACTATACGTGAGTATTTTATATACTCCCTCTGTCCACCATAGATCTTCCTAGTCACTATTCACAGGGTCAAACTTCACTCACTTTGTTTGCTCATTTTTACTAGTAATTTCATAAAATAATATAGTCTTGTCACCTCTAGTTTTATAGAACTTTTCATGTAGTTTATTACTATATAAATTTTATTTTAAAATTTTACTCCTATAATCAATTAAATTGAATTAAAAATAAAGTCGGTCAAGCCTCGTAACGCGTAATGGAAAGATCTTAGGTGGACGGAGGAAGTAATATACATGGTCATAATTGGTAATATAAAAACATTTTAACTCATATTTCGAGAGTAAAAACATGAAACTTTTATTTTTGTATATTTTTAATCTTTTAATCTTACTTTAGTCTTTTTCTCTTTTTATTTTTATCCCTTCTAAAAAAAAATTGTTAGTTCATCCTTATAATTTTTTATTTTGAAAATGATTTTTAAACATAGTTAGCACTTCTAATTTGTTGACACAACACATTTATTTTGTACTCAACATCTTAATTTTTTATTTTTAATTATTTCATATCCAATTCTAATGTCATACATTGTGTCCTTCATCGAATTACATCCTCAATTTCCAAATTTTACCATACTACATTCCCTTAAAAATTGGGAATTTGAGATGTAATATGATTAAGAAGACAATTTAGAATATAAGAATTATGTCAGAAGTATTAGAAATGCAAGATTAGAATGTTTAGTACGAAATAAATGTATTATCTCAACAAATTAAAAGTGTTAACTATGTTTAACTGTTTAAGGACTAGTTTTCAAAATAAAAAATTGTGTAAGGATGAGCTAACAATTTTTTTTACAAGGACCAAAAAGACAATTCACTCATTTTACAAGGACTAAATCATATTTAATCTTAAAATAAAATAAAGGATTTAAAACTGGACCTAAGTGTTCAATTTTAGGCTCAGCAGGTTTAGATTGCATTGAACTGAACCTGATTGGATCAAAAAGACCAAATTCTTTTTTGGAATGAATACATATATGGTGTGTTTAAATGGAAATTTATTTTCCTCTCTTTTAAGTAAATAACTTTCCTAAACGAATTCCATCATTTAATTTTAAGGAAAAATAGAATGGAAATTTTCTAGAAAATATGTCCCTCTATTTTAACAGACCTATAATGTACGAACTATCAAAAATAAAGGTTGGGGCATTATATTTAAACTCTATGAGCAAATGACAATACAAAATTTGATTTTTTACGATTTTCAATTCAACATCTTGATGATTAATATCTATATTTTTACATAGATATATTTTATAAAAATTAACACAAAGTACTTTAAAACTAAGTTTCAAAAGAAAAACTATTGATATTTCATTTATTTGGAAACACAATATAGTTTTGTTATATATCAAAATCAAAATTTACAAATTTTAACCAGCAAAAGTCAAATGAGAAGATTATTTTTTAACAGAGAGAATACAAAATAAGAGATGTGCGATTAAACCTTTAAAAAACACATCAAGTGCATATTGAAATTAGTAGAGTGGTATAAATTGCAAACATATACGCATGGGATACTATCGTTACCCCATTGTTTGCTAGGGCATATTTTACTTCCCAGATAAACTAAGAAGCTATAGATGTTGGACATAGAAGCCTTACTGGCCACATATTATTGACCATCATAATGTACATATCTGAATATGCCGAGATGGAGGGAATAATATTTTTTATAAATCGCACACGTAAATGTCTATTTTTACTCTTTATAGAGTATGATTAAAAGCAATGTTTAACTCCAAGCAAATGTTCTATAAACACCCCAAAATAGACCCAAATGCTACCCCTTAAATTATTTATATAAATAAATGGAAAAAAATGATTTTTTTAAGGAAACAAGATAGCTTTGAAAGCTCTCCATGTCATCGACCATATGGCATAAGTTGTTGGAGGCACGTGTTGCTATAATAAGATGCTACCCCTTAAATTATTTATATTAATAAATGAGAAAAAATACTTTTTTTTAAGGAAACAAGATAGCTTCGAAAGCTCTCCATGTCAACGACCATATGTCATAAGTTCGTTGCTGGAGGCACGCGTTGCTTTAATAAGAATCTTTGAGAAGCATTTAGATGCAGTCATATAGATACTATAAGCGTGTTTAGAACTTTTTAAGCTATGTAAGATATTATTTAGGTTTGGAGTTGAAAAAGGGGGAAGAAACTTACTAGCAACGTTTGGTACACGAGATTCAGGTCATGGAAATAAAATTGAAGATTTTAATTTCAATTATAATGTTTGGTAACACGAAAATATCTAATTTAGAACTAAAATCTAATTCTGAATCTTTCAATTCCACGTTTTGAATTTCCTAATCTGGGAAAACAATTTAAAATCTACAATTTAAAGTTTATGGGTCAAAATATACTCACTGGTATTCTTTCTGGGTCAAAACAAGGAAACGGACCTTATAAAATCACTGAAATTCTTTCTGGGCCAGAACAAGGAAATGGACCTTATAGACTTTATATGCGTTTGGAAAATAACTTTTTGACTGATTTTTGGCTTCTTTGACTGGGTTCTTAAAAACCTTGGGTGTGTGAGGAAAATTGATTTTAATGAGTAATTTGATGCACAACATTTTTATTTGTTTATTTTCAAACGACTGTATTTTAAAAATAGTTATCACCATTCACCAATGTATACACATCATACAAATTATGAAACCAATTTAGACAAAATTAAAAAAGTGGGAGGGGGGGTGGGATTGTGTAATTAGTAGATGGCATCCCCATCATCTCAAGTGATCCCGACCAATTTTTGCACAAATTAAATAGACGTACAAGGCTACAAGTAGCAATTCCCCCCTCGAGGCCTTGATTTCTGGTTTCTAGACAGCCTTTCTTTCGGTTTGAAATCTCCTGGACCAGCAAGATTTGAAAGAGATGATGAATTCATCTCTTCTGCATACTTCATTGCCAACACTTCCTTCCCCATCTTCTTCAAGTTATTAATGATCGACCGATAAGTCTGCACTGAAGGTTTGATCTTTCTCTGTTTCATCTCAGAAAAAAGTTTCAGTGCTTCGTCAGTGTTGCCCGATCGACCAAAAGCCTCAATAATTGCCGTAAATGTAAGCAGATCCGGTTTGATACCCCCCTCACACATTTCCTTGAGGTAAACTGAGCACATCTCCAAGTTCCCCACCTTCCTGAAGCTATTTATCAGAGTATTGTAAGACACAAAATCAGGGCTGATGCCAGCTTCCTTCATTGCAATGAATTTGTGATGCATTTCATTGACTTGGCCACATTTCCCCAAGATATCTAGAACAGTGTTATATGTGATGACATCTGGTGCACATTGTAGTGTCTTCATCTGATCAAATATCAACAGTGCATTTTTGATCTGTCCACATTCACCAAAAGCCAATATGATTCTATTCACAACGGTTGTGCCACTTGGGTAGGCTATCTCCGAGGCTTCTTTGACAAACCTCATCAGCTGAATAGAATCAGTTTCCTTCGCAAATGATCGGGCAAGATTCATATAGCTAGTCGCACATAGAATTCTACATGATACCAATAAATCTTTGAAAACTTGGGCTGAAAGGTCAAAGTCAGCTTTCTCAGAAGCTGCTGCCAGAACGAGATTATACGAAGAAGGCCAAAGGAAGATTTTCTTATCACGCACTAGTTGCAGCATTGTAGCAGCACCACGAATATTTCCTACTTTGCACATCTTATGAAGATGATCGGAACATATTTTTTTACAGGCCTCTGGATCCTCGGTGGTGGCTAGAACTTGATTCAGTACCTCATCTGTGATATATTCCTCACATGAAGAGGCTTTTGTTCCAATTAACTGACTATTTCCATTGAATTTGTTTGCAAGAAAATGGCTTACTCTGTACGGGTTTGTTTTCTTACTCGTAATGGAAGATTGACTTGCAAAACTTTGGTCACAAATCAAGTTACAATCAACAGCAGTTGCCCTAGTCACCTTGCAATGAAGTATAACCTTAAAAAGTCTTGAAGGAGCTCTCATACTTCAATTCATATGCTTTATTGATAAACTAGTCACAAATGCAAAAACAATATCTGTGAACAAAATAACAAATGAACTTCAATTTACTGCTCCCTTTTTCATAAAAAAATTATAAACCAGAAATTAAATGGAAATATAAATACATAAGTCCTAATACTAGTCTTCTACCTTCTCACTATCCCAATAGTATACAGCTAATGTTAAAAACAACTTAGACACGACAGACATGTCCGTTTAATTCTCATAAACTTTAGAAGAAACCTTAAATGGAAACATAAATACATCTAATATTATAATGCAAATGTAGCACTAGTCTCTCAATTCACAAAATTCTCACAATCGCTACTATTTATATCACGAGTGATTTCAGCAAAATGACTGTTCATGTGCCTTACACGTATACTTTTCTTTTTCGTTTTTTCCTTTCACTTTTGCAGCTTTGTGTTCTATCTCCTCCAACTTCTCCATTTCTCATGTGCCCTATATCCCCCCTTCCACTAGTGGTCCCCTCCCACGTCTAGCACCATATCCAGGTAATAAACGGAATCGTACAAGAGTTTCAAACTTTTAATGTCCGGGTTGAGAGACGGAGAGTAAAGGAACCTTCACAACAAAGAACAGAGGGAGTCTCCAACATCAACAACGGCTAAATCCTAGCACAAACGACCAGGTTAGCTTTATTTCAAGTTCATGATAATAATTCAAGTTCCTTCACATTAAAGTGAAGTTTGAAGTTAAAATCTTAAGTTTGCCTCAAAATTAATTTCAAAGATTTACAATTACACAATCATAAGTTCAAGTATTTTATTTTAAAGTCACTTTCAAGTCTTTAGGTTTAAGTTAACTTAGCCTTTTTTTTATCTTAAATTATAATTTTACATGTTTCAAAGTCCATAAAGTTACATAACTACAATATATCTAACCAAAGCAAGTAATCTCAAAATCTAAACAGTAAGCGATTTTATTACTCGTACTACTTTATTAGTGTTTATCAAGCGTGTTCAAGGCTGAAAATCATATGATATTGACATGAAAAGTGTTAGATAGTTTCACTGGATATGTGTTACAACATTATTGGTTCAATTCAGCACTATATCTGTTACTTCAATCTAAATAATAGATTCATGGGTATATTAGCGAGTACAGACTGCAATGTTTTTTTCAATTAAATTTGAAGCCTTTTATTGTGTTTGCTTTAAAACTGAGAAGCATCTAATAAGCTGCTGATGATCTTACTATTCATAGTAGATATGTGCACTTGAAAGATTATTGGTTCAAATCAACACCACATCTGTTTCTTCAGTCCAAAGATTTTTTTTAAAGAGCTTTCAATTGGAATCTTATTTGTATTCATGGGTGTCTGGGTGTATAATTAATTAGGGCTGCTAAATTTTATCAACTATATTTTATTCCTCTTTTAAGTTAATAAAATTAAGCTGTTATAATCAAACATAGGTGTATTAGCAGGAGTCCATATACCATACGTCTGGTGCATCCACGCAAATACTCGTTTCCAAGTAACATAATACTCCTTTCATTGTTTAGTTACTTTAGTATTTATTCAAAGCAACAACAACAACATTACTCAAGTGCCTCACAGGATCGCGCCCATTGTGGGGTAAGAGGGTCTAAAACATAGAGCGGCTGTTTACAGATGACCCGTGATAAGCATCGAAAGTTGCATTGACAAACAACTACTTCACTATTAAAAGAAGTGCACGTAGTTAAAGAGCTATTTTGCTTTATTCCATCATACCCCAAAGCCAAAAAAATAGTGAATCTTAGGCACCATCAGAGATGATGGAAGCCTAATATATCTATGCTCATTTGAGAACAACATAATGCTCATTACGTTTATACAGGATGTATATTTACAAGTAACACAATACTCAATTCAACTAAAATAAAGATGGATGTACAACTAAAATAGAAAAAATAAGTGAAATGAGTATTTCATTACTCGTAAATAAGTATTTGCTGAGGATGCACAAAAAATATTGTAGAGTCGGTTGTACATGCATATTGCCTATTAGCAGCTTCCCTTTATTTTAATTTTACAAAGAAAAGTTGCAAATGATTTTACCTTGCAGAATACATATGCACCACCTGTACGATTTTGATTCAATTTAGCATTAAATCTTCTGCTTCAACATAAAGAGATACTCCGTAATTATCAAAAACTCTGAATTGAAATTGAATTTTATTAATGGGTATTTAATCAAGCAAGGTTGCCAAGTTTTTTCAATTAGACTTAAATAATCCTCTTATTATGTTTGCTTTCAAGCCCGAAGTTGGTAATATGTTGTGCATGAGCTTTTATTTAGAGTGGATAGCTGACACTCACAAAATTATTGGTTAATTACATTCTAGTATTTGTTACAAACTAAAGCATAATCAATTATAAAAGCTTTCAACTGCATTTGGATTTATATTATTATGTTCGTGGGTGTATAAACCACAATAATCCGTTATTGACTTATTCAAGGCCTCACTGTACGAATAGGAACTAAGATGATAGTATGGTACATTGTAGCCAACTTTTAAGAATAGGAACACACGTTCATCCACTCTTCACCCTGATCCTCCACCCAATACGGTTAACCCTTTGGCGGAATTGTGGCCAAACTCAATGTGCTGGATTATTTGAAAGACAGGTCGACAACTCTAGAAATGCAAGCCAATCCAAAGGTGAAAAAGTAAAACATGCATTGGAGAGATGACGAAGAAGCACACCATACTAAGAAGATAGTATGGTGTTTTTCCAAAGAAAAACACAGCTCCCTACGACCCTACGCCAAAATTGAATTCCCAAAATCCAGTGGCAGCGATCCTCGTGGCTGGGTTCCCATTCAGGCTCCAAATGTACTGCTGTTGATTTACAGCACGTCTACACATAGCTTCATCTCCAAACATCTGGTAAGATCTCTTAACTTGCTACTACTAATGTGGAAAATTTTGGGGTTCAAATCAAAGATGGTACGTAGTATGGTACCTTGTAGCCAACTTTTAAGGACGACACTATGCAACAACCTGATATACAAGTCACCCAGGATTTCTTTCCCTTTAGTAGGGACAGATCTGGTGTTGGGCACTTGGGCATTAGATGGCTTGCTTCCATAAACAGTAAACACTATTCAGTCCAACTAAAGGAAATGTTCCCATTTTTATGGGTAGAGGAAAGCTTTACAAATTGCAGGGACTTCCTAAGAAGAATCAGGGTGCTTCTTTGAATTATATGTCCTCTACCACTAAGGAAGATTCATCTGTATCGTTTGATTTGGTTGCTATTCTAGTTGATTATGCTGCTGTATTTTCTGAACCCACGGTTCTACCACCTATAAGAAGCCATCAGCATACTATTTACATACAACAACAACAACAACAACAACAACAACAGAAACCCAAACCCACAAGAGTAGGGTTTGGGGAGGGTGTGTCGTGTGTGTACGTAGACCTCACCCCAGTCGAAACAGTTGAAAGTAGATAGGTTGTTTCCAAGAGACCCCTAGCTCGAAAAACACAAACTGCACATAAAAGCATAGAAAGCATAGAGCACAACAAAAGAAGCACATAGCAAGGAACAGAAACAGATCAACAAGTTAAGAGAAAAGAGGAACAATGGAAGAAATAAGTAATGAAACCTGGGACTCTTTGGCCTTCCCTGCTCTATGTCATGAACCCGAGAGGACTCAACAGGCCCCTGTAGTCGCTGAGCCTAAGATTCTGTTGTCTTCCTAGCCCCGACATGGGCTTCCAACAAATCTAAAACACAACTGGAAACCTAATGTATCATACGACAAACTGTCCGGTTCCATACTTCCATGGGCTTCCTAGACCTAGGTTTGTAAAATAGATGATTCCTACACATCCTAACTCCCGGTAAACTCTCCTATCCAGTCCCGACCCCAACTCACTCCACAATTTTAGTTGACTATGAGATCAAATCTTTAGACATTATAATCAACTACACTTGCAAGGTGCAATTGACGTAGGTAGAGGGATGAGTTAAAGTCCAAACTGGACGTGGGGGTTTACCGCATGAGTTAGGCTCCGTTCCGTTCAACTTATTTTTTCTTATCTGATCTGATTTTTTGTAGTTCTGATCTGATCCGATCGGATTGGATCTGATCTGATCTGATTGGATCTGATCTGATTAATTATGATTTGATTTAAAATTCAAATCAACAATTTGATTTGACTTTATATAACGTTTGAAAATTGTAATGATACTTCATATTATAATATAATCAATATTTTTTATTTTATGATTATTTTTTAATAAAATAAATTTAGTTAATTCATATATTAGAATAATCATTCATATTATAATGTACTAATATTTTTTATTTTATGATTATTTTTTTGAAATTAGAATATGAATTTAATATTTTAATAATTACTTCATATACATTAGAATAAATATTTAATTTATATATATACATTAAAAAGTAATTAAATTTAGATAATCAATATATAGAAGAGATAATATTTTTACTAAAATATCTCATCTTTATAAAAAAATAAAAACTTTAGAAACTCAAATTACAGGTAGCAATAAAAATGTATTTTAAAAGTATAATTAGATTGACATTGTCAATGTATTTTAAAAATATTTTTTCTGACGTCTAATAATTATATATTACTTTCTCAGTTTTCTATTTTAATTTGTTTCTAAAGTTTATTCTTTTTAATTTTTAACAATAATAATAATAATAATAATAACAACAACAATAATAATAATAACAATAACAACAACAACAACAACAATAATAATAATAATAATAATAATAATAATAATAATAATTTTTGATGGGATCTGATCTGATTCGATCTGTTTTCATCTGATCTGATCTGATTTTAATAAAAATAAGAAAAAATAAAAAAAATAAGTTGAACTGGGGGGGTTAGATTGATAAATTTAAGAAGGGACCATGACTTCCGCGCCACTGAACCCAGCCGCACAACAAATGTGGAAATGTAATTTCTAGGCACAAACTGGAAATCAGGTAGGGTTTATAATATCATCATCCTCTTGCAGCGGAAAGAAGGTACTCAGAAGTCACAAGCAAGCGGCGAATCACCATCCCACCACCAATGACAACAACTTCAATTGCCAGAAACAGTTCTCGTCTTCGCAACCTATCTCCCTTCATTTCTTTTACTTCATATTCTTTGAACAATTGTCGGGCAACCAGCAACCAATCTCGTCTCTTTCACGATGCTCCTCGCCGTGTCCAGGCACTCCTCCCACTGTCATATTTGGTTCTCTATTCTAAATCTTTCCATCATTTTTTGTTGGTTCAAATCTGCTCGTAATATTTCTCGTATTTCATACAAATATTTTTATGAATATGTGTTTTTGAATAGTTTCAGGACGGTCGTTTAGGTCAGTCAGGAGTGGGGCATAGTCACAATTTTTGCAGGCTTAGGATGCTATGCACCGCTGTTTCTTCATCTAATCAATCCAATAGTGGATCCTCCGGGGATAGTTCTGGGAAAGGTGAAAGTTCTGATGGTTCGCAGAAGGCTGCCGAGAACGGAAAGCCTGTCCGGGGGAGTGTAATTCTTCTCATTCATTCCCTCTTTTACTAAACGATCATGCCTATGTCTAAATGTATAATGAGAGTGTTCGGAAGTGTGTTAGCTTTATGGAAAAGTGAATTTTTAGACCATAGAATCCAAACTGCTTCTATCCTAGACAGGGTCTGAGAATCAATCCTCAGAAACACTCACAAACACCTCAATGGTTGGTGTTGGCGCGAGAATTCTTGAAGTCATTAGTATATTACGACTAGCTAAAGAAAGGAGCAATCCATTCTTTATTTTAGATTTTAGATGAGTGGATTTCTATAGTTTTTGTTTTGTTCTGCTCTTTGTACTTTGTAGTTCAGGAAATAATCGAGTACCAAGTTTAGCCGAATGCACTTTTCTTGGGGAGTTCATGCTCACAATTATTGTGTATTACTTATTCTAATATAGTAATATTACTGTTCTGTCCTTTTGAAGCTGTGTTATGCTAGTTTTATTGCTTGCCTTTATTGCCCCCACCTTGCTACATTTCACAAATTTAGCCCCAACTCCCAAGATAGACGATATTTTCAAAACAAGCAAACATTTTTTCATATTACTCTCTTCTACTTCTTAAATTTGTTCTTGAAACATTTTTTTTGCTGTAACAACCTTTAAGGCATGCATACATCTCACCATACATCTGAGTGAGATAAAAGAAATGTATTGTTTAGTTATGTTATATTGATTCTATAAAATAGTTTGTTTAGTCAGTGGAAATTTATTCCTTATAAATAAGATTCATGAAAGGAAATTAGCGTTGCATTTTCTGTTTGATTTCGATATTTTGATGTAATGATCTATAAAGAATGGCTGTAACTTTAAAACAAATTCATAATCTATCCTTTTTTTGTGTGTTATAGACTAATAGTATTATTACCATTACCATGTACTGTTATTGATTTTTGTTTCTAATATTATTATTCCCTAACTATTTTTTGTTTAGTTTCTTTTTAGTTATTGCTTACATTATATACATATTTTTATTTTTGTTTAAAAAATGAAACTGATGACGGAATTACAAACCCAAGGACTCTTGAGAGCATCTCTATATTTCCTAGGTTGGGGGTAAGGTTTGCGTACTCCTACCTTTTTTATACCCCAATTATAGGGTAATTTAGTATGTTGTTGTTGCAGCCAGTTTCATGGATGAGCTTTTTGCTGCTACTGGGAACTGGAGCAGGATTGGTTTACTACTATGACAGGGAAAAGAAGCGGCATATTGAAGGTAGATTACTATGGTGAGATGTGGCATTGCTGGTCCTAACTTTGTGACGTGGATGGGGTACCCCTGCAGTATTGGTCATATTGACTTGTCTATGCACCTTTTGTGAATAGGGCCAAAGGTTTTTTTCATTTGTATAAAAAATGATGTAGAAGAAATCTTCAAATTAATGTTCACACTTCACACATTTTTGTTTCTACACATCACATGTCAATGCCCCTGAAGTGGCCATTTGACATGTGCAACAGGATTTAGGCGAACTGGAGTTTGGGTTCTAACCTGGGGATCTGTCATAATTCCATGTAAATGGGTTTTCTGCGTGTTTAGGCCAACTTGTTTATATTTTATCAACTCCCACAATATTCTCTAGATAGACCCCCAAAACATAAGTCATTTTTAATCCTGGTCAGTAAGAAGACTATTTTTTAGCTATCTACACGGTCACACAAAAAAGGTTACAATCCATTACTTTCTTTTGTTCTGTCAAGCATGCGTCATCCTGCACTGTGGCATGTTTATGGTTGATGCATTAGTGAATCAGACATAATATACTGGATTCATTGCAGGGATTAGTAGTGCTTCAAATGCTGTGAAACAAGGACCATCTGTTGGAAAAGCAGCTATTGGTGGCCCATTTAGTCTCATTGACCATAATGGGAAGCCTGTTACTGAGAAGGATTTTTTGGGGAGATGGAGTATGTTATATTTTGGATTCACTCACTGCCCAGATATATGCCCAGAGGAACTACAAAAGCTTGTGGCTGCAATTGATAAAATCAGTAAGTTATAACAGTTTACCCACACGGTGTTATAAAAAAGATCATTTTTTACTTATTTCTCGTTATGGTTATTTTAGCACTGTGTTAGACTAATATGGAACCAAATACTGTTCATTACTATTGTAAGTAATCAATAATCTATTTTAATAGACTTAGGCAACAAGTCATCATATACCATATACTTCGGATAAATATAACGTGTCTAAACAATAAACACTACCTACGAAAATGCACTTCCTCTGTCATGCAAAAAACTTCACACTTTTACATCATGCAGTTCAAAGATAGTCTTGAAAAGTGAAAAGTTTGTGGTTGGAATTTGTTTAGAAGAGAAAAAATGTCGTAAGCCTCACATTCCTTTCCTTAAAGGAAATGATAGAAGTGTGAAGTTCATTTTGGGATAGAGAGAAGGAAATTGTGAAGCTAATTGCGGGACCTAGGTGAAGTTGATCCACTGCTAGGAAGCCTAAACGGCTCAGATGAAATTGTGACAACATCAAGGCGCAAGGACAGTCACAACAGTAGGGTTAAGGCGGGTGATGATTGCAGGGCGCATACATTAGTGCCTTGTGCTCACATAGTGAAGTGCAGCTGAGGCTCCGGGACACTCTTTTCTTTATTAATAACCTTAAACAACCATTTTAGGGTTTTTACTCATCATCTTCTTCAGTTATTCCTACTCTTCTTATTCGTATTCTTCTTCCCTTTCTTTCTCTCTTATTTGTTATTTTTTTGTACTCTCTCTCTCTCTCTCTCTCTCTCTCCTTTTTGGTCCCTTTCCGGTAGTTTTACTATAAAATTCAGCAGTCATATTTTATTTTGCTTAGTTTTTTGTTTTCGTATGTTTCTCTCTCCTTTCTATGCATTATATATACTCATTATTTCTGTAAATTTTTTATATTAGCATGAAGAGAACAAGCTAGATTTGCTAAGAAATTTGCTAATTGTATGTTCTTTAAAGTTTAAACCATGACTTCTATAATATCTTTAGTACTTTAGACTTCATTTTTAATGTGAGTTGTGTTTTCTACGTCTATAATTTATATTAGTAATATGGAATATGCTTATGTTTTTGTTCCATCATTGCGTCTCATGTTCTTGGGACGCGTGCCACAAACGCGCCTTCCGCCTCAAGGCACTAGATCCTCTATGCGCCTCGTGCTTCTTCACTTCATAGCATGGATGCCAAAATCTTCCATGATTTTCATGTTGCCATGATTGGTACAATAGTTCCCTTTCTATGTGCTATTGTGCTTGGAATTTGTTCGTTACTATTGTGTGGCTAGAATTTGTTCCCTAAGATACTAAAGAAGTGCAGAAAAGACAGAGTTATCAATAAGCATTTTTTCTGAGTGTTTCAAAATTAGAGTGTAAACTAGGAAAATCATAATGATAGTTATATTTATTCAAGTAAAGGTAACATTGTTATGGTACAAACTACAAAAGAAAGTTTAGCTCATAAAATGAGATGGTGGAAGTACGTATCCATCTCAAATGTGCTGCATAAATTGTGTGTGTAATTCATTTGATGAAATAGATACCTTGACTTTAGTGTCTGGAAAACATTATTTTTTTGTATTTATTATTCATGCCTTCATGGAGATTATGTATACCATGTGCTTGTATGTGCTGATGATTATCTTTGAAATTATATAATTATTTTTCAAAATTTTACAGAAGAAAAGTCAGGACTTAAAGTGGTCCCTGTTTTTATCTCAGTTGATCCTGAGAGGGATACAGTTGAGCAAGTTCGCGAATATGTCAAAGGTGCTTTGGAAACGGGATTTTGTATTTCACTATGTTTTTTTTATTGCAGATATTGAACATGTATTGATGCTGGTGAAAAATGTCCTCTTTCAGAGTTCCATCCCACCTTAATAGGTCTCACTGGTAATCTGGAGGAGATAAAAAAAGTTGCACGTGCTTATCGAGTTTACTACATGAAAACACAGGAGGAAGGCTCAGATTATCTTGTCGATCACTCAATAGTCATGTACGTATCTTTCGGACATAATATAGTTGTTGAAAATACCTCTTCCTGTGCCCTAAGCAGGATTTCTTTTAACACTATGTTTGGTTCAAGGAATTCGAAAGGGAAAAGAAGATTTTGAGATGGAAAAAAGTGTTTTTTGTTTGGTTAGAGAGGAAAAGAAAAGAAAAGTGGATGGAAAAGAAAATGAGCAGGCAAAATGTGCAAAGAGGAAGGAAAATCAAATTCCTCCCATTTTGGAGAGGAAAATGAGAGAAAATCATTTTCTTTTTTCTTTTCCTTTTGAATTCCTTGAACCAAACATAGTGTAAATGTGTAGCTATAGTTCTAAGTTAGAATTCCTGTCTGTGCTGCTTTGCATGTGATTATAAGCAGGTATCTTATGGATCCTGAGATGGAGTTTGTAAAGTTTTTTGGGAAGAACAATGATGTCGACACCCTTGCTGATGGTGTAATCAATGAGATAAGGAAGTACAAACAAGTAAAAGCATGATTCATATAATTACATGTTCCTTGCAAACCTAAAGCAAGTAAAATTAAACTCCAGCACTGAGCATTGCTTGTTCTATTCAGATTTTTAGTATATTTTGACAGTGTGTTGGATTATTTATCTCCAACAAAATAAAGATGTCATTGATGTCATCATTTTGCAACTACTAAAGTTATGTTTGGCGTACTATATTTGGGTATTGGTTTTGGTTATCCTTTTATGTAAGATTTGGTATGGGTTGTGGTACAAGCTTGATAATTTTGTGGCAAAATGGATCAATGAGTTAAGTCCTCCCAAGGAGCACTTATGCTATGTGTAACGTTCCTAGTCCCACTTTAACGCTATGTTATAAGCGTTACCCGTTTCGAACTGCATGAGAGTTTGATGACAGGGGAGTTGGTGCATATTAACATGCAGGTTCCGTTTAGGCTGCCTCTACTTGAAAAATTCTTTTCATAGACTTTCAAGAAACTCAGCTATGCGAAACCCATGCCACAAACATTTACCTTACACATGAATCAAAATGTTTTTCCACTTTCAGTTAATATTGCACTATATGTTTTGCCACTTAAAATTTTAAGAGTTCGCATATAAATTAAGTTAATACACCTTACATTAGAATAAAATATTTGCCTTTACTGCTTTCGATTAGCTGTATTTATTTAGGCGGTGTATTCATTTTAGATTTTAAAAGAATCTGTTTATCCACGGATTTTAGAAGGATTTGTTAGTCCAACAAAATGTTGTGATTCATCTCTTCATCGCAATCTAAAAGTTCATAGCTCTGGACGCTGAGGGGGCGAGAGCCCATGGTTCAACTGGTATGTTTCCTGTGGAGGTCTCACCTTAAAATAAAAGAAGAAGAACCCTAGGTTGAGTTGCAGAGGGGGTGGGAGCCCAGGGTTCAATTGAAAATGTCGAAGAAAGAGGCAACGAGGAGAGAGCTTTTGGATCAATGGAGAGGCATCGAAGAGAAGGAAGACAACAGTGATCGGGTATTACCTGGGATCTGTACGACCTTGAGATGTGATGCCCACGAAAGAGAGGAGATGATGAGGACTTGGATTCTTAAATCTTTGGTTGGGAGTAGGGATTTGTTTGAAGACTTTTTATTATAATTTCTACTTTCAAATCGATTAAAATCCATGTAGAATACAAACCTTTAAAAATGCATGAACTGTTGAATATCATTATATTTAAATATAAGTTTTAAAATCCAAATTGAATATATTTAGATTTTAAATGATTTTTTAAAATCTGAATTAAATACACTCAAATTTGAAATGACTTTTTAAAATCCGAATTGAATACCAATAAAATTTTATAATCCAAAAAAATCCTTTAAACTCTATGGTATTTTTTACTTTTTAGGGATCATTGGTTTCTCATAGACTAAAGGTTAAAGAGTTTTGTCTTCTTCACTTTTCTTTCTCAGACTGTGCAACTCATTTGTAAGACAACATACCCTATGGTCCTCGGTAATTTAATTGCCATCTCACTCTATATATATTATTGTGTGTTTTGTTGTATTTTTTCTTAATTTTTCCCCACCTTTTAACAAATTTGGTATCACATTCTCATTGTTGACAGATAAAGATTACTCGGGCTACTACATTTTCAAAAAAATAAAATAAAAATAAAAATAATACAGAGTACTACTCATTACTTGTTTTGTAGAATTTTTGACGTAGTTTTTAAATATGTGTGTTGTACTTTAAGAGCATTGTTATGATTTGGCCTTAGACTAAGAATAGTTTAAGAGCATTATTATGACATGGATCAATGAGTTGATGATATTATTTTCGGCTCAACTAATGAAGCATTATGTAATGACTTTTCAGGAATTATGACAAACGAGTTTGAAATGAGTATGATGGGAGAGTTGAACTTCTTTCTTGGACTCCAAATCAAGCAACTTGAAGATGACATTTTCATAAGCCAAACCAAGTATGCAAATGAACTAGTTAAAAAGTTTACTCACAAGTTAACCTTGAGTTCAATTATCATAATCAATAATCAATAATAATCATAATATTCATAACAAACAACGGCTTAGGGTAAGATGTTAACACCCTAGCTTACCGTCATGCAAAACATAAGGCTTCAGAATATACTTTTTTGACAAAAATACAGATTTGTGGAAAAATCATTGTACCTAGGTACCAGCAAATGGTACCTAAGTACCGCCCAACTGGTACCGGGTACCGCCTGGTATCAGATACCACCAGATCCGGTTGGCTTGTAGCGGTAGTTGGCTACCGTCCTAACAGTACCATGGTGGCCTGGCGTCCGGCGGTAGCTAGCTGCCGTCTTGTAGGAGGTTGCTACCGTTACTGTGCCTGTTTCAAAACTCAGCCCAGTACTTCGTCTTAGCTTCAACCTCAGTCCAATTTTCGAAAACATCGATCATCTTAAGCCACCAAACATAATTAAACTATACAGAAATGTTATCTAATGTTCATAGATCATTTTGGTATCATTAATTCAAAGTTTTAACAATAACATCAAGGTTTATGGTTCTTTATTTTTCAAGCATGTCAAAAATAAAACTCAACCAAATGACCAATTATGAACGTTAAAACGATCTATATGAACATTCTAATACGTATATATATTTACGAGCTTACCTTGGGTGAAAATGGAGGTTTTGGAAAAATTCCAGCGAAACTCTCGGTGAGTATTGTGGCTCACTCCGGCGACCTCACACTCTCCCAACAGCACCACTGCACTCCTCACACTCTAAGGAACAGATCGAATAGAAGAAGGAATGGGGAAGAATGGTGAAAAATCAAGGGGTTGTGTACTCCTTATATAGGGAGTGAAGGAAGACGAAACAAGGTTACTATGCATGGTGACGATTGATCGGCTAGTGTGCTGGAAGGCGATCCGGGAGTTATTCAATCGTCTCTCCTTGATTGGACTAATTTAGTCTTAGTCGGGGTATACTTTTCGGTCCAGCTTTCTCCGAATTAAAATACAATTATACTGTTGTGATCGGATAATCAAACTCTACACAATTATATAATTTTTATATTTATTTGTAATATTTTTTCTGATACCTTATTATTAGGTGTTTGACTTTGACAGAGTCAAAATTGATTTAATTAATCTTTTATTCAAAATATCATACATATTCAATTCATATCATTTAATATAATGATTTATTTCAATAAATCATTTAAGAATTCACACCAATCATACAAATCTTAGTTCGTTTAGGTCTGTACTCTGGTCTCTAATAAAGACCACACACATTCAATCTGCATATTGGATTTATCTTTATAAGATTTATCCAAAAATAAAATATTTTATTTTCAGAAACAAATTTGTCTAATTGAATAATATTCAAAAATACTTTTAGGGTGGGTTTTGGAGTATTACATTATGTCAATGCAAAATGGTTGGACTATATTGCAATGACTTTACTTGGAGATATCAATCATTTTAATCAAAAAAGGAAGTGTTTTGGTGAAACCAAGAAAAATAAAAGAGGAAGAATTTTAGTGAACGGAGTGAGTAAATGATTAATTTGAATAATTAAAATAATACTTCCTGCACCCCAAAAATTCTTCCTCTTTCTTTGTTTGTGTCCTACAAAGTTCGTTTTTATTAAAAAATCGCTTTTACAGCTACAAATTCTTATCCTACCTATCACACCATACTCTTTGTCTGATGATCTACCTATCACATCTTACTTTTACCAAAAACATTAAGGTTATTTTTTGAAAAGGCAACACAAAAATATTCATATGTTAAATTTACTAAAACTCAAAATGGAAACGACATTATGAGACGAAGAAAGTATGAAAATTTTTTGCACGTAGAAATTAGGGAATAAAACAGTAATTAGCATTCCCTTCATCTTTAACACAAAAAAGAAAACTTGGGAGTGGACTAGTACATAGTAGCTACATCTATCAAAGCTAATTGATGTGCATTTTAATTTGCAGTGCATACAAAATATTGGGAGTGGTCTGACCACAACTACCAATGCTAATTGATGTGGATTATATATACAGCTAAGTCGTGCATGGCTATTTATAGCTAGCTGGCTAGCTATAAGGAGTACATGCTGCTAGCTGCTTCGTTCTTGAAAATTGGTGCGTAAAGGCTATATTACGAATCTTTACGAACTACCTACTGAATTGGATATTACCCTTCAATGACTAATTTTATGTGTTACGTTTGTGCACCAGCTATTTCATTGATGAGTCGCTTCTAGGGTTTGTGTGTGTTCTTGTTATAAGTCTTATCTGCAAAAGAAATTATTAGAATCTATTATATATATAAAAAAAGGATGAAAATTGAACAATTTCCAATCCAATTTTCGCTCATATCCAACTGTCTAATTTCATTTGCAATCGGCAAATCTAGCCGTCGATTCCTAAGGCCACTGTTCGAACTCCATGGCAAAAGACATTTGCAGTTGTGCGCCTAACCCTATTTACGGTTTCCGTATGGGTTCGATCTTCTCCGCCTAGCATGTCTTCCATCTTTTACTCTTCCATCTCTTAGATAAAACTCGACACACCCTATCTCGTCATAAGGTGTTTGCCGATGAAGGTCTCAGCGAGAGGCTCATGCAATCCAGCGATGGCAATCAATTTGATTTGGGAATACAAATCAAGAGTGACGACGTTCTACTGGGGATTGAAATCGGGTGGATATTCAACGCTCTGCTCTAATTGCGGGTATTTCAATTCCCAGATCTGATATAATTCAATAATTGGATTGATTTTCGCCTGTGTAGGGAGCAATTTCGAAATATTAAATTCAATTTTAGATCCCTGAATGGAGCAGACTTTGTTGTCCATGAAATCTCTCTCTCTCTCTCTCTGAATATTCTAAGGGTCCGTTTGGTATACGGAATTGGAATTGAATTGGAATTGAGATTCCATGGGATTCAATTCCATAGAATTGAATTCTTCCAATTCCAATTCATTTTTAGCACCATCAATTCTAAATCCGCATAATTTTTGTGCTACCAAACACCGGAATTGGAATTGAGTCCTCAATTCCAATTCCATAATTTGAATTCCATGTACCAAACGGGGCCTAAATGAATTTTTTTTTAAATTTTTGCATATTAATTTGGGTTGCTTCCTAAATTTGGGCATGTCTATTTAGTCACATTTCTTGAATTTGACTTAGGCAATGAATTTCATTGTGGTATGTACCCTATCCA